ATTTTGACGGACCAAATATGAGTTGTCGCGAAGATCATATGTTGGCGACAAAAAATGAGTGGTCGCAGAAAGATGATGTGGTTTGGCGACCGAACTACAATTTGGTCGCGGAATGTCACAGTTTGCGACAAAAAATTAAGATTGGTCGTGCAAGATCACAAAATGGTTGATTGTGGACAATTGGGACCAAAATTGAGTCGCTAAAAAACTTACTTTTTAGCGACTAAAAATATTTTAAGTCGCTGTATATGAGTTCTTGGCTACTAAAACATATTTAGTCGCCGAATGGAAAATGAAACATTATTTTTTATCTTTGGCGACCAAAATTTTGGTCGCCAAAAAACTTATTTTTACAACTAAAATATTTTAGTGCCGTATATTGAATTCGGCTTACAAAACTATTTAGTCGCTAATGGAATAATCCAAAAATTATTTTTCTATTTTTGGCGACCAATAGTATTGGTCAGCCAAAAACTTATTTTTAGCCGACAAAAAAATATTTAGGTCGCCGTATATTGGAGTTTTGGCTACTAAAACCAATGTAGTCGCCGATGGAAATAAAAAATTATTTTTATACTTTTGGCGACCCAAATTTTGGTCGCCAAAACTTATTTTAGCAACTGAAAAATATTTTAGTCGCGTATATGAGTTTTTGGCTACTAAAACTATTTAGTCCCAGAATGAAAATAAAAATTATTTTTATCACTTTGCAACGCAAAAGTTTGGTCGCCAAACATTATTCTTTCAGCGACAAAAATATTTTAGTCCTCGTATATGAGTTTTGGCTACTAAATACAATTAGTTCGCCGAATGGGAAATAAAAATTTTTTTTTATTCTTTGGCGACCAAATTTGGTTGGTCGCCAAAATACTTTATTGGCGACCAAAACTTGTTGTCGAAAAAAAAAAAAGAAGAGTTTTTTGCGCTATAATAGGTACCGTCCTTGCAAAAAAAAAGTAAAAAAAAAAACTATTATATTAATATATTGTGGCTTAGAGGGGGGTCTTCATATATAGTATATATATATAGTCACAAAATAGTTTAAATAAATGCAACGTCATTTCTGTCAACATAAAAAAAATTAAAAAAAACAATGTCTGGCTTACTCTTTCTTTGGTCTGTTCGTCTTCCTCCCATTTGTGTTCCCTTGCCACTCTCTCCCTCTTCATCTCTCTATTTATTGAGCTCTCCACACAAGATATACACTTTTAGCGACCACTTTGTCTGCTCTCGCTCATCACTCTGCTCTGTCTCTCTCCATCTGTTCTCACACATCTCTCTCTCACCACCCATCTCCTTACCACATTCACCACTACTGCAAATGTCATTCACTACCACATTATTCCAATGTTGTCACTCCACCTCTACGACTACCATTACACAAACCATCACTGCCACTACTTACCACTGCTACCACTACTACAACTACTACTTACTTACTCCTCTCCTCTCTATACCACTACCATAACTTCACACTAATCTCCTCGCCATCACCTCTTATACACCACCTTCACCACTACTTGCCGCTCCCTCTTCTCGCCACAAAAATTAGCTCTTGATTTTTAGTAACAAAAAAAAAAAAAATGGGCCACAAAAAAATATTTTCCATTGACATAAAAATTAAACTTTATTTAATAGAAATATTTTTCATTAAAATATTACCCTACTTCTACCAAAAAAAAAAAAATTCATTAAATAAAGTGTAATCTGTCTGTCTCTATCTCTCTACATTTCATTAACTTTATTTTAATTGAAAATATTTTTCATAAAAATATTTACTCTCTTTTACAAATAAAAAAGATTTCATTAAAATAAAAATGAACTAATAAATTTTCAACCTTAATAACTAAGAAAAATAAAAAAATAAAAATTTCTGCACTTTCAACCAAAAAAAAAAAAAATTAGCAAAAAATAAATAAAACTATGGCCTATCTTAACTCTCCTCTTCTTTTCTTCTTTTTTTCGTTTTCCCGCTCTTTCTATTTCCCTCCTTTCTTTCCCCCCTTTGTTTCTCACGATCTCAAATCCCCAATCCCTAACAAAAAATCCCCAAAATACGATACTATAGGGAGGGGGAGAGAGAGAGAGAGAGAGTTGATCGGAGATTCTCAAAAATGGGGAACTATCACTTCGTGTACAAGGACGTGGAAGGAGCTTCGACTCAATGGGACGATATTCAGAGAAAATTAGGAAACCTCCCTCCGAAGCCCCCTGCATTCAAGCCCCCATCCTTCAAGCCCGCCGAGGACGAAGACTCTAAACACAAAGACAAAGCCGGCCACCGCGACTGCGACTACCACCGACGACTACGACTCTGTTAAGTTCTCTCTCTCTCACTTGTTTGTTGCTCTCACTCTGCCCCTTTCCCTCTCCTTCTAATTTTTGAAACCCTAACAAGTGATTTTTTTAAGTCTAGGGTTGGTCAAAGTCGTCTATCTCCTATGGGATTTTGATTTTGATTCGATTTGTTCATTTCCAAGTTCTTTTTCTTTAATTTAATTTATGTGTAAATTTTGCACACCTTCAAACTGCACGCAACTGTATGCTTAATGCCTACTGATTTTTCCTTCTCTTCTATTTCAGTCCCTTAATTTCATTTATCAAAAAAAAAAAAAAAAAATTTGCGCCCTTTAATTTTCTTATGGTGGTTTCATCAGCAATCCCCTTGTAATGCAGAAACCTTGCTGGAAATAGCTTCACTGGTGGCATCCCTTATTCCATATCTCAGATGACTTCCCTAAAATACCTGTTAGTCAAGCATCCGAAATTTGATTTTTATTGTTCATGGAAAAACTATTTAAAACTTCACACTTAACCACTGGTTGTTACATTGCATTACCAAACAAGGGAGGAGAGAAAACACAATCTTTTATTTCCTCTTGTAATTTAACAAATCATTTCTTTTAAGTGATGTGCATTTTTAGTAAGATTGGCTTCTTTGATTTGTTTCTTAATTTACTAGCATTTAAAAGATAGCTGTAGTAAGTATGCTTGCTTTTAATAGCTGTAGTAAGTAATCTGATTTCAGTCTTGGCATAAAGATGCTTGTGAGACCCTGAAAGATTAGAAATTCATTACTGTTGGTCTTAATGATTATCATAGTCTTGGTAATAAGTGTTTTGACTTCACTACTCTATCTTGTTGCAGAACTTTTGTGATGCCTTCTAGGATGTGTATTAATCCAATACATAATAATAAAGGGCTTTTTCATCAGTCAGACAATGCAAATTCAGAGGAAAGGTAAGCTTCATTTGGCTTCTATTGTAAAGAATCCTTGGTTGGTTACATCACAACAGAGGGAACAAAAGAAGAAGACAATAGTTGAACACTGGCTGTTGTTTTGTTTTCAATGAAATTGTTTGCATAACACTTGTAAATAATTTCCTTGCATTTCTTTTCCTTTTATTAAAAGCAACAACTTGAGGCTTATGGTTCAATGCATGGTACAAACACTGACACAGGATTGGTGTCTTGCATGCATATTAGGCACTTCCTAGTTTGCTTATGAATAAAATAAACCAGGACATGTGTGCTGCACTCACAAAATAAAATAAAATGAAATAAAAATAGTTGCCTCATTGTATTAGCAGTTGTAACTCTCTCGTGTTAAAAATTGAGTGGTATTTTCAGAGAAATAACTAGAGGTGTTGTCTAATGTATGCTGATATTTGTGTCATTTTATTTATTAGGTGGGCTGCTAGCTCCTGTGCCATGGATTCGTTGTATGATTTGGAGCTCATTTCCAACACTGTTCCTGTAGTTTTTGACAATTCTGAAACATGGCATCTGGCTCTATCAACAAGCTTGAAGTTGGGGAGTAGAGGGATGGCCCATGTACAAAAAATTACTCGTGTTGATCTCAAAGAGAAAAGTCAATATTCAAATATCTTGCTCATTAATCGAACTGCTAGCCCTCTTGCATGGTAAGCTCATTATTGCCATATAATATTTATTTTGCTTTGCTTAGTTCCACAACACCCCCATCCCCACAAAACTGGTGAAGGACAAATTGAAGAAATGTTTGCTCCATTGATTGTTCAAAGTCTCTGTACTAGTTACCCTGTATTCTCACATTATAAGGGTTTGGAGGAGACCAGCCTAACTTCTTTATATATTAGTTATTGACTGAAAAATGATCAAGGCTGTGATAGGGTCTTACTCATTTACATAATTAAATTTTAAAAACCAATTTTAATTGAAATGAACAACAAAACCATTTTGAATTAGTTCAGATTTCATAAGTAGTAATTATATTGTTTATGTCATATGCCATGCAATATTATTGTTCAAATCTTTGAAAAAATCACACCTGTGTTGGTAGAGTTTTTCATGTTTTAATCATGATTATATTATTAATCTTGATAATTATTCAGGTTTATGGAGTGCAAAGATCGAAAAAACCACACTGCTACAATGTTGCCATATTCATTTCTTCCTTCAATGGCTGCCCAGAAACTACGACATGCAGCAGAAAAGGTTTACCATGTACAATCTTTTTAAGTTATGATTATCTACTCAGTTCAGGTGAAATAGCACATGATTTACCATGTATTGGCTATTTGCACTGTCTGCTAACAAATACTTGGTCCAGTTATCTTGTTAATATCTTTTGACTGCACATAAAGTTTCTCTTCAATTAATGCAAGAAAAAAGTAAACTCAAGGAAGCAGTAAACTCAAGGAAGCTGTGTATGCAGCAAGCTGGTCCTGGTTACCTTGCTGTGGCTACTCGAATGCATTTTCAGAGGTATATTATTTATCTCAAGTCCATCAGATGAAGTTGTTATCATTAATATTTTTTTTGGTAGGTATGCGTTGGCATTATCTTTTCAAATTGGAAATAAGAATGCATTGTGAATTTATTCCCCCCATTAGGACAGCTGGCTTGGAGCAGGAGATTGAGAGCTTGAAAAAGAAGTTAACTGCTTGCACTAGAGAGAAGTTAAATCTCCAAGAGGAGCTTTCTCAAGTCCTTCCTGTAACATTGATGGGAAGGGCTGGGGATGGTTTGAAATAAAACAAACTTCACATGACACAACTCCTGTTTCTAGCACTAGGACAAAATTTTACATTCCTTAATGAGCTAAGATTAGCTCTAATATCACCCATTTCTATCTTCTTGACTCCTTTCCCTTCCAAACATGATACATAGTACCAGCAAGGGTCAACCTGTAAACATAATCTGTAATAGCCTTACCTCCACACTCTTCAGCAAAAGTCAGGCATTCTTCTACCAGGAAGAATTCTCCTCAAAAGAACAGTCCAAGTATATGCTGAAAAATATTAACAAAAAAATAAATGATCGTGATCAAACCCATTGCACAATACACACTTGTTTTCAGAAACAATCCCCCACTTAAACAACCTATCCATTGTAGCCAGTCCCCTCTGAACAGCAACCCATTACACAAAGCTCCACTTAGGAACATTTTGAGGCAACCATGCCAATTTATGTCAAGGGACGATAGGGAATACCATTTGAATTGCTTGCCAAGCTGAAGCCACAGTATATTTACCATTACTAGAGGGTAGCCAAAACACGGAGTCAGGCCTATTAGGATTCAATACAAAGCTAGCAGGGTATTAGCTTCAATCTCAGAACAGCAACCAATTGCACAAAGCTCCACTTAGCAACATTTTTGAGGAAACCATGCCAATTTATGTCAAGGGACGATAGGGAATACCATTTGAATTGCTTGCCAAGCTGAAGCCATAGTATATTCACCATTACTAGAGGGTAGCCAAAACACTGAGTCAGGCCTATTAGGATTCGATACGAAGCTAGCAGGGGTATTAGCTTCAATCTCAGTAATAACCACTCTTCTACCTCTAGGCCACTTCCAATTCCCAAAATTAATGATAAGAGGAAACTCTGCTATTCACAGCCATGCCCATATGAAAAGCAACCCTTTCCCCATATTTCTTATTCAAAGGACCCAAGGGATGCCAATTATCAAATCGCAGAAATGTAACAGTCCCATCACCAATGATATATTGATCAAAGGCTGCCCCACAGCTCTTAGTTCAAAAAACTTCCTGACAGTCCAAGATGCCTCAGTAGGAAGACACTTATTACCCTTAATTACACAAGTATGGACCCACTTAACCCACAAAGAGTCAGCTTTCTTACTTAAAGCCCACAAAGGTTGTCTTAGCATAGTGGCCTTATTCCACTCTCTCAAATTTCTGAATCCCAAGCCCTCTTCAGCCTTTGGTGCACAAATATGCATCCACTTCACTTTTGCACTGTAGTACCTAAACTCACTCCCTGTCCACAAATATGCATCCACTAGAGAGAAGTTTGTTTTATCTCTATTATTATTTTTAAGGAAAACTCGCCAGATGTATTCATTCATATCATATCTGGTAGGTAGGGTAGCAGAATGGATGAATATGCTTTCCCTTAATGTCTTGGGAAAGAGAACGGAAAGGAGGCACAAATGTTATGCCACCTTATTTATGTGAACTGCAAATTTATATTTTTTTTTGGTACACGTTAATCTTTTGTGTGTGGTTACTTAGATTAGGGGCCTTGATCATCAATGCTGATTGAATGTCTGCTCAAGCTACTCATCTACAACCCAAAGTTTAATCTAAAGGTAAGACCATCAGAATCATTCATGTTTTAATTAATCTGTGGTATTATTCGTTAAAATAAACTTTACCAACTTTATTAAAAAATCATATATAAAAGTGAACTGAATCGATGGAGCTTTGATAGTTAACTATGCCTGTATTTGTTATGGTTGTTAGCTTATTAATCATCGTGTACTGAAATTTGCAGGTACAGCAATAGGTACAGTTTTATTATGCCAGGTAGTTGTCTCAATACGATGTACATGTTTATAGGATTTAATTGATTTTTGCAAAGATACGGGTTTGCAATCCAGTGTTGCTACTACTATCATGCTTCTCTGATAAATTTTCCAATTCTGTTTCTTTATTAGGTGCCTTACATCACTACTGCTTTGATGGATGCGAAGCGTGGCACGGAAGGGCGCAAGGATTTTTTGATTGGCTATCAAGGCAACTTAGTGGATTAAGCAATTTTCCTGATGCTGTAAATCTGAATTATGTATTGTTTCAATTTGTTATGCTAGATGGATGTGACTTGTGAATGAAAACTTAAAATAGTTGTATTGTGTCAAATGTTAATGAATTATGTATTGTGTCGAATGTTAATGATTCAGTTAATTTGAAGGATGCTTTAAAATTATAGGTTTATTATGGATTGAATGAATTATTAGGAATTATAGGTGTATTGTTTTCCTGCTTTGGCGACCAATTTATTAGTCGCGACAAATAAATTATTTTTTTTCGCAAAAAATGACAATTGCCGACCAAGAGTTTTGGTCGCAAAAAATACATCTATTGCCGACCAAAACAGTTCTTGGTCGTGGAAACTCACTTTTGCCGACCAAAAGTTTTGGTCGTGAAAAGTAACAAATGGCGACCAAAACCTTTTTTGGTCGTGGAATGTCACAATTAACGACCAAACTTTTTGGTCGCGGAATGTCACGATTGGCGACCAAAACTTTTTGGTCGCGGGATGTCAGGATTGGCGACCAAATTTTTTGGTCGCGGAATGTCACGATTGGCGACCAAAATTTATGGTCGTTGAATGTGATAATTGGTGACCAAACTTTTTGGTCGGGAAAATATCACTTTTCGCGACCAAAGTGTTTTGGCGACAAAATAAATTAGTCGCGGTAATTAAATATTTAGCGACCAAAAATTTAGTCGCGAAATCCAACTTTTGCCGACCAACCACAATTTTGGTCGCGAATTACTTTTGCCGACCCTCAATTGGCGACCAAAGTAGCGACCAAAAATATTGGTCGCGGATAACTTTTGCCGACCAAAAATTGACTTTTAGCGACCAATTTTTTTGCTGCCAAAAGTGTTAATTCTTGTAGTGAAAGGAGATTTTTGTAATTATTGAAACTATAAAAGAGATCCCTTTAATTGTGAGCAACCTTAGGGGAGGCGAACGTAATTTGCGTTTTATTTTTTCTCTTCTTTGAGGTAGGCAAGTTCAAATTATGGTTTAAAATAATATTTGAGTTGCTTAAAATACTAAAACCTATACCGTATTACATAACAACATGGTTAAAAAGTGGGTTAAATACACTTTAATCCCCTCTAGTTTGGCTTGGACACATGCAACTTTCCCATCATTTAAAAACATACACATAACTCCCTTATGATTTGGAGTCGAGTATAAAATTAGTAGAATCCGTTAAACCTAACCGTGCGTATTGGTCAAGGGTTGTGAGGCACGTGGCAATTATGCTACAATAGAAGTTTGGGAGTAAAATAACTATATAATCCTTATTAAAACATTTTCCCACTTTTTTTTCTATTTTCTTCCTCAACCCTCCTCAACCACCACTACTAGATTCTCTTTATATCCACTACCACCAACATCCAGCCACCATAATTGAATCAATCACCAAGCACCATTCAGTGTTGAAGATGGAAAACATAGGTGAAGTTACCATTCTATGTAAATTCAATTGCAACTCTAAGAAACCTTAGCGGTGTTGAACAAATTTAAAATGAGGAAAATCCAGAATTGTGATTGTGAATAAGTATCATGAGGGTAGTGTCAAGATATACTAATTAAACATGGAAAACACATGCAAATGTGTGCTAATATGTATATTATTAGTTATTTATTCCTACATTTTTATTAATGTTGAATGGTTGCTTAGCAGCCCTTAAAACTCATTTTTCCAAACACAGTGTAGTAGTACAATAGATTCAAATTGATATGTATAATCTACCATTGAAACTAATATGAAAGACATGGATTTATTTCAATCACCAACCACTCGACAACTATTAATGGTTACTGTGGAGACACATTTTGAGAATGACAACACCCGAGGTGGCACCAGAGGTGTCAACCGAGATGCCACGTGCCTTGGACATTTTGCCGAAGTGATCTCGGCTAAGCTAAGGTTATCTACGGAGGTACCGGAATTCGAGATGAGCAGATACTCTGATATAAAATAATATTTAACAAGTTGATTAATATCTTTTAATTATCGAGTTTTAAACTTAGATTAAGCCTAATTAATATGAGTTTTAAACTTAGATTAAGCATAATTAATATAAATTATCCGATTTAAACTCGATTTTAATTAATTTTCAATCATAACTTAAACATAATTTTAAGGGTAAATTACTCTGATCTCTCCTGAGATTTAGAAAAAATATAATAAGTCTTATAGTTTTGATATAATTACATTGATCTCTTTTATAGTAAAGTTAAATGAATCGATACTAATTCAAATAGTGATAAAAAGCAAAAACAAACAACATAAGGTATATATTTTCATATAAAAAAATGACAAAATGACAATATTATTTTTTCATTCATAAAATCAAAAAAATATTGATCAATAGGAAGGTAAATGTTATATGAATTAAAATTTAAAAGTAACTCAATGTATTTATGTTAAAATTGTAAGATTTATTATATTTTTTTAAATCCCAATAAAAATTAGTTTAATTTGTTCTGATTTTTAAGTTTGATAAACAATCATGTCCAGCTGGACCACAACAAAGTCCAAATTGAACTAATTTGCAACCCTGATCCTGATCAAGAGCATAGTAGTTTGGTGGTGACTCAAGATTACTTTTCAAGATGGAAGACAGATGTGT